CCACTGTGGGGGAGGCAGGTGACAGTTGCTGCCACTGTGGGGGAGGCAGGTGACAGTTGCTGCCACTGTGGGGGAGGCAGGTGACAGTGGCTGCCACTGTGGGGGAGGCAGGTGACAGTGGCTGCCACTGTGGGGGAGGCAGGTGACAGTGGCTGCCACTGTGGGGGAGGCAGGTGACAGTGGCTGCCACTGTGGGGGAGGCAGGTGACAGTGGCTGCCACTGTGGGGGAGGCAGGTGACAGTTGCTGCCACTGTGGGGGAGGCAGGTGACAGTTGCTGCCACTGTGGGGGAGGCAGGTGACAGTGGCTGCCACTGTGGGGGAGGCAGGTGACAGTGGCTGCCACTGTGGGGGAGGCAGGTGACAGTGGCTGCCACTGTGGGGGAGGCAGGTGACAGTGGCTGCCACTGTGGGGGAGGCAGGTGACAGTTGCTGCCACTGTGGGGGAGGCAGGTGACAGTTGCTGCCACTGTGGGGGAGGCAGGTGACAGTTGCTGCCACTGTGGGGGAGGCAGGTGACAGTGGCTGCCACTGTGGGGGAGGCAGGTGACAGTGGCTGCCACTGTGGGGGAGGCAGGTGACAGTGGCTGCCACTGTGGGGGAGGCAGGTGACAGTTGCTGCCACTGTGGGGGAGGCAGGTGACAGTTGCTGCCACTGTGGGGGAGGCAGGTGACAGTGGCTGCCACTGTGGGGGAGGCAGGTGACAGTGGCTGCCACTGTGGGGGAGGCAGGTGACAGTGGCTGCCACTGTGGGGGAGGCAGGTGACAGTTGCTGCCACTGTGGGTTGCTGCCAGGCAGGTGACAGTTGCTGCCACTGTGGGGGAGGCAGGTGACAGTGGCTGCCACTGTGGGGGAGGCAGGTGACAGTGGCTGCCACTGTGGGGGAGGCAGGTGACAGTTGCTGCCACTGTGGGGGAGGCAGGTGACAGTGGCTGCCACTGTGGGGGAGGCAGGTGACAGTGGCTGCCACTGTGGGGGAGGCAGGTGACAGTTGCTGCCACTGTGGGGGAGGCAGGTGACAGTGGCTGCCACTGTGGGGGAGGCAGGTGACAGTTGCTGCCACTGTGGGGGAGGCAGGTGACAGTGGCTGCCACTGTGGGGGAGGCAGGTGACAGTGGCTGCCACTGTGGGGGAGGCAGGTGACAGTGGCTGCCACTGTGGGGGAGGCAGGTGACAGTTGCTGCCACTGTGGGGGAGGCAGGTGACAGTGGCTGCCACTGTGGGGGAGGCAGGTGACAGTTGCTGCCACTGTGGGGGAGGCAGGTGACAGTTGCTGCCACTGTGGGGGAGGCAGGTGACAGTGGCTGCCACTGTGGGGGAGGCAGGTGACAGTTGCTGCCACTGTGGGGGAGGCAGGTGACAGTTGCTGCCACTGTGGGGGAGGCAGGTGACAGTGGCTGCCACTGTGGGGGAGGCAGGTGACAGTGGCTGCCACTGTGGGGGAGGCAGGTGACAGTTGCTGCCACTGTGGGGGAGGCAGGTGACAGTTGCTGCCACTGTGGGGGAGGCAGGTGACAGTTGCTGCCACTGTGGGGGAGGCAGGTGACAGTTGCTGCCACTGTGGGGGAGGCAGGTGACAGTGGCTGCCACTGTGGGGGAGGCAGGTGACAGTGGCTGCCACTGTGGGGGAGGCAGGTGACAGTGGCTGCCACTGTGGGGGAGGCAGGTGACAGTGGCTGCCACTGTGGGGGAGGCAGGTGACAGTTGCTGCCACTGTGGGGGAGGCAGGTGACAGTGGCTGCCACTGTGGGGGAGGCAGGACAGTTGCTGCCACTGTGGGGGAGGCAGGTGACAGTTGCTGCCACTGTGGGGGGAGGCAGGTGACAGTGGCTGCCACTGTGGGGGAGGCAGGTGACAGTTGCTGCCACTGTGGGGGAGGCAGCTAACAGTTGCTGCCACTGTGGGGGAGGCAGGTGACAGTGGCTGCCACTGTGGGGGAGGCAGGTGACAGTTGCTGCCACTGTGGGGGAGGCAGGTGACAGTTGCTGCCACTGTGGGGGAGGCAGGTGACAGTGGCTGCCACTGTGGGGGAGGCAGTTGCTGCCACTGTGGGGGAGGCAGGTGACAGTTGCTGCCACTGTGTGGGAGGCAGTTGCTGCCACTGTGGGGGAGGCAGGTGACAGTGGCTGCCACTGTGGGGGAGGCAGGTGACAGTTGCTGCCACTGGGGGGGGGAGGCAGTTGCTGCCACTGTGGGGGAGGCAGGTGACAGTGGCTGCCACTGTGGGGGAGGCAGGTGACAGTGGCTGCCACTGTGGGGGAGGCAGGTGACAGTGGCTGCCACTGTGGGGGAGGCAGGTGACAGTGGCTGCTACTGTGGGGGAGGCAGGTGACAGTTGCTGCCACTGTGGGGGAGGCAGGTGACAGTTGCTGCCACTGTGGGAGAGGCAGCTAACAGTTGCTGCCACTGTGGGGGAGGCAGGTGACAGTGGCTGCCACTGTGGGGGAGGCAGGTGACAGTGGCTGCCACTGTGGGGGAGGCAGGTGACAGTGGCTGCCACTGTGGGGGAGGCAGGTGACAGTTGCTGCCACTGTGGGGGAGGCAGGTGACAGTAGCTGCCACTGTGGGGGAGGCAGGTGACAGTGGCTGCCACTGTGGGGGAGGCAGGTGACAGTGGCTGCCACTGTGGGGGAGGCAGTTGCTGCCACTGTGGGGGAGGCAGGTGACCGTGGCTGCCACTGTGGGGGAGGCAGGTGACAGTGGCTGCCACTGTGGGGGAGGCAGGTGACAGTGGCTGCCACTGTGGGGGAGACACGTGACAGTTGCTGCCACTGTGGGGGAGGCAGGTGACAGTTGCTGCCACTGTGGGGGAGGCAGGTGACAGTGGCTGCCACTGTGGGGGAGGCAGGTGACAGTGGCTGCCACTGTGGGGGAGGCAGCTAACAGTTGCTGCCACTGTGGGGGAGGCAGGTGACAGTGGCTGCCACTGTGGGGGAGGCAGGTGACAGTGGCTGCCACTGTGGGGGAGGCAGGTGACAGTTGCTGCCACTGTGGGGGAGGCAGGTGACAGTGGCTGCCACTGTGGGGGAGGCAGGTGACAGTTGCTGCCACTGTGGGGGAGGCAGGTGACAGTGGCTGCCACTGTGGGGGAGGCAGGTGACAGTGGCTGCCACTGTGGGGGAGGCAGGTGACAGTGGCTGCCACTGTGGGGGAGGCAGGTGACAGTTGCTGCCACTGTGGGGGAGGCAGGTGACAGTTGCTGCCACTGTGGGGGAGGCAGGTGACAGTGGCTGCCACTGTGGGGGAGGCAGGTGACAGTGGCTGCCACTGTGGGGGAGGCAGGTGACAGTGGCTGCCACTGTGGGGGAGACACGTGACAGTTGCTGCCACTGTGGGGGAGGCAGGTGACAGTTGCTGCCACTGTGGGGGAGGCAGGTGACAGTGGCTGCCACTGTGGGGGAGGCAGGTGACAGTGGCTGCCACTGTGGGGGAGGCAGCTAACAGTTGCTGCCACTGTGGGGGAGGCAGGTGACAGTGGCTGCCACTGTGGGGGAGGCAGGTGACAGTGGCTGCCACTGTGGGGGAGGCAGGTGACAGTTGCTGCCACTGTGGGGGAGGCAGGTGACAGTGGCTGCCACTGTGGGGGAGGCAGGTGACAGTTGCTGCCACTGTGGGGGAGGCAGGTGACAGTGGCTGCCACTGTGGGGGAGGCAGGTGACAGTGGCTGCCACTGTGGGGGAGGCAGGTGACAGTGGCTGCCACTGTGGGGGAGGCAGGTGACAGTTGCTGCCACTGTGGGGGAGGCAGGTGACAGTTGCTGCCACTGTGGGGGAGGCAGGTGACAGTGGCTGCCACTGTGGGGGAGGCAGGTGACAGTTGCTGCCACTGTGGGGGAGGCAGGTGACAGTGGCTGCCACTGTGGGGGAGGCAGTTGCTGCCACTGTGGGGGAGGCAGGTGACAGTTGCTGCCACTGTGGGGGAGGCAGGTGACAGTGGCTGCCACTGTGGGGGAGGCAGGTGACAGTGGCTGCCACTGTGGGGGAGGCAGGTGACAGTTGCTGCCACTGTGGGGGAGGCAGGTGACAGTTGCTGCCACTGTGGGGGAGGCAGGTGACAGTTGCTGCCACTGTGGGGGAGGCAGGTGACAGTTGCTGCCACTGTGGGGGAGGCAGGTGACAGTGGCTGCCACTGTGGGGGAGGCAGGTGACAGTGGCTGCCACTGTGGGGGAGGCAGGTGACAGTGGCTGCCACTGTGGGGGAGGCAGGTGACAGTGGCTGCCACTGTGGGGGAGGCAGGTGACAGTTGCTGCCACTGTGGGGGAGGCAGGTGACAGTGGCTGCCACTGTGGGGGAGGCAGTTGCTGCCACTGTGGGGGAGGCAGGTGACAGTTGCTGCCACTGTGGGGGAGGCAGGTGACAGTGGCTGCCACTGTGGGGGAGGCAGGTGACAGTTGCTGCCACTGTGGGGGAGGCAGCTAACAGTTGCTGCCACTGTGGGGGAGGCAGGTGACAGTGGCTGCCACTGTGGGGGAGGCAGGTGACAGTTGCTGCCACTGTGGGGGAGGCAGGTGACAGTTGCTGCCACTGTGGGGGAGGCAGGTGACAGTGGCTGCCACTGTGGGGGCAGGCAGTTGCTGCCACTGTGGGGGAGGCAGGTGACAGTTGCTGCCACTGTGTGGGAGGCAGTTGCTGCCACTGTGGGGGAGGCAGGTGACAGTGGCTGCCACTGTGGGGGAGGCAGGTGACAGTTGCTGCCACTGTGGGGGAGGCAGTTGCTGCCACTGTGGGGGAGGCAGGTGACAGTGGCTGCCACTGTGGGGGAGGCAGGTGACAGTGGCTGCCACTGTGGGGGAGGCAGGTGACAGTGGCTGCCACTGTGGGGGAGGCAGGTGACAGTGGCTGCCACTGTGGGGGAGGCAGGTGACAGTGGCTGCCACTGTGGGGGAGGCAGGTGACAGTGGCTGCCACTGTGGGGGAGGCAGGTGACCTAAACATCCTGGTGGATGTTTAGGTCAGCTGCTCAGTGCCACTCAGTGCTCCAGTGCCACATGTAACTCACCCTCCTGGAGGAGGAGCCACCACCGTGCCCAGGTGGAGGTCGGGGTGGAAGAGGGACCTGTGCTCCTCCAGACCAGCCAGCCGAGTCCGACATTCCTCTCGCAGGTTCGCCTCCGACGGCCCGGACGCCATCTGGACCTCCAGACCAGCCAGCCGAGTCCGACATAACTCTCGCAGGTTCGCCTCCGACGGCCCGGACGCCATCTGGAAATTGTTTGAAAAAATATTCTGACTTCATATTACCAAAAATAATTGTTTATTGTAAATGTTTGTTATTTATTTCTTATAAGGTAAAGTAAAACACTTGCTGGCGTGTGTTGTTATTAAGGTAAGTAAACACCTGCTGGCGTGTGTTGTTAGGCCAGCCAGCCTACTCATGAGAAACTCTCCAGACACAAAGCAGAACGCTTTAAAAGAGACCAACGTCGTCTATGCCTTCAAATGCCCACTTGGGGACTGTAAGCTCCAAAAAAAACAGTAAATAGGCAAGACAACAACATCTCTTTCTAGGCGTTTAACGATGCATAAGCAACAGGGCTCCATTAAGGAACATATAATCTCTTCCCATAACCAAACCATCGCCAGAGAAATCCTAGTAAACAACACAGAAATCATCGATAGATACAGCGATAGCAGGCGGCTTGACGTTTGCGAGGCACTACACATCAAGAAGTCAACACCAGCAATCAACAGCCAATTAATGCACAACTATATTCTACCCACCTCAAGACTCCGCTCCAATATAGAAGCATCAAGAAATATGGACCAATAGGCTTTCTACAATCACTTCTATTCAATACCCATTGTTTCATGTTCTGTCTTGTGTTGATGAAATTAATACCCTATTAATGCCACCTCTTGTTCTGTCTTGTGTTGATGAAATTAATACCCTATTAATGCCACCTCTTGTTCTGTCTTGTGTTGATGAAATTAATACCCTATTAATGCCACTTCACCCCATCCACCTCTCTCAAATGTAGATATAAAATCGGAGATGCGTAAGTTCTATTCAGTTGTGTATTTGTAAACTAAAGTCTTTGAAAATGTAATAAGTTTTACGAAACGCGCTCGTGTCGCGTCAGACTAGAAATAAAAATGAATTTTGGAGAATTGATTTTGATTTACCTCCAACAGTGAAAAGAAATGTACGAAAGATTGAGAAAATTCGTGTTAGAATTATTAATCTTACTTTTTCGGTCATATTTAATAATATATGTCAACAGGAAAGACTGCTACCCAAAATATACTATATATATATATATATATATATATATATATATATATATATATATATATATATATATATATATATATATATATATATATGTCGTACCTAGTAGCCAGAACGCACTTCTCAGCCTACTATGCAAGGCCCGATTTGCCTAATAAGCCAAGTTTTCATGAATTAATTGTTTTTCGACTACCTAACCTACCTGACCTAACCTAACCTAGCTTTTTTGGCTACCTAACCTAACCTAACCTATAAGATAGGTTAGGTTAGGTTAGGTAGGGTTGGTTAGGTTCGGTCATATATCTACGTTAATTTTAACTCCAATAAAAAAAATTAACCTCTTACATAACGAAATGGGTAGCTTTATCATTTCATAAGAAAAACATTAGAGAAAATATATTAATTCAGGAAATCTTGGCTTATTAGGCAAATCGGGCCTTGCATAGTAGGCCAAAAAGTGCGTACTGGCTACTAGGTACGACATATATATATATATATATATATATATATATATATATATATATAATCTTATTTATCTATTTATGTTATGCTTTTGTATTTGTGTTCATATAATGTAATGTATAAATATTATATATATATTATTAAAATATTTTGAATCTTCTTGCATGATAAGGTCAATAATTGTCTCACAGGTATGTAGTAACTTTCCTTTAAATTCACGATGAAGACAATTATATATGTAAATTCCCATATGTTTAAGACTAACCATCACTCAATCAATGAAACAATATTTACTATGATAAACTGCTGCTTGAAGCTCAGGAGCGCATCAGTGTTATCTGTACAAGCGTTCGAGCCTCTCTCAGTACAAAGGGACGGAGTTGGTTACCGAACTGGACGCTCGCTCTCACGGCCTGCTAACCAGTCAGTTAGTACACTTCACACTTGACTCGTCTCATCATAAGTGACTGAACAATTTAGGATAACTGCATAAAAGTACACACAGAACAAGATATCAACACTTGCACTCGTTGTCACTCACGTTGTGCCGTCAGACCATTGTTAACTGAGCCGTAAGGGAGATGATGTCTTTGTAATATATCTTATATTATCTCCCAGCTTACATTTGGCCAGCTTACACTCGTGAGACAACCAGTGTGGTGGCACTGCTCTCTCCCGGGCACCCCTGGCACCCACCACTCTAGGAATAGTGCCAGTCTTTATATAGGCATGGCGCCAGGTCCTGACACACCACCGTGGCGCCAGGTCCTGACACACCACCGTGGCGCCAGGTCCTGACACACCACCGTGGCGCCAGGTCCTGACACACCACCGTGGCGCCAGGTCCTGACACACCACCGTGGCGCCAGGTCCTGACACACCACCGTGGCGCCAGGTCCTGACACACCACCGTGGCGCCAGGTCCTGACACACCACCGTGGCGCCAGGTCCTGACACACCACCGTGGCGCCAGGTCCTGACACACCACCGTGGCGCCAGGTCCTGACACACCACCGTGGCGCCAGGTCCTTTATAATAAAAAGTATAAACAATTACACTTAAACAATGAAAATAAAGCTTGTAATTGTGGTATAAATTGATAATTAACAGTAAATTGGTATTTAACATCAGAAAGCGCATTTTAAATAATTAAAACTTGTGACATAATATAGTGAATAGTGACATTATAGTTTGCACAAGCTCTCACAAGTCAAGCCTGGCCTCGGGCCGCTCCAAGCAACAGCCTGGTGGACCAAACTCTCACAAGTCAAGCCTGGCCTCGGGCCGGGCTTGGGGAGTAGAACAACTCCCAGAACCCCATCAACCAGGTATATGTGGGCCTGCGGGCCGCTCCAAGCAACAGCCTGGTGGACCAAACTCTCACAAGTCAAGCCTGGCCTCGGGCCGGGCTTGGGCAGTAGAACAACTCCCAGAACCCCATCAACCAGGTATATGTGGGCCTGCGGGCCGCTCCAAGCAACAGCCTGGTGGACCAAACTCTCACAAGTCAAGCCTGGCCTCGGGCCGGGCTTGGGCAGTAGAACAACTCCCAGAACCCCATCAACCAGGTATATGTGGGCCTGCGGGCCGCTCCAAGCAACAGCCTGGTGGACCAAACTCTCACAAGTCAAGCCTGGCCTCGGGCCGAGCTTGGGGAGTAGAAGAACTCCCAGAACCCCATCAACCAGGTATATGTGGGCCTGCGGGCCGCTCCAAGCAACAGCCTGGTGGACCAAACTCTCACAAGTCAAGCCTGGCCTCGGGCCGAGCTTGGGGAGTAGAAGAACTCCCAGAACCCCATCAACCAGGTATCAACCAACCAGTTAACCCGAAATTTTAGCCAAATATCCCCAGTTTATTCAGGTAAGGTACATACATACAAGAGATTTTACATAATTTGATGGATTTATAGATGGAGCTAGTACATACAATGCCTAAAGCCACTATTATGCAAAGCGTTTCAGGCAGGAAAAACATTAATGACTAAAACTTAATACTAATTGAGTATAAAGAATAAAATGTGTTGAGAACAAATAAAAATAAAGATAAAAAAGGGGGGAACAAGGCTGAAAACGCAGCACAAATACAATTAGGTCGACAAACAGAGTTGTTTAATAAAACAATAAAATCAGCAGACTTCTAGATGTTACTACTGCTCGGCTTAACTCTGTTACAAGTATCTCTGGAAATTCTCATTATCTGCTGATGTAGACCTGACCAAATGTAAACTGTGTCAACAAAATTATTCGCACCCCCTCCGTCACTATGTGATAGAGTGCGAAAAGATGAGTGAATTCAGAGACAATTCTATTACCAATGTTCCAGCGATGTGTCAATATTTCATTCAAAATGATCTGCTACCAGAAATTTTAGCCAAATATCCCCAGTTTGCTAACTGTAGGTAGTAACTAAGTGATTGTAACCTATCCACCGCTGCCCACTGGATGGGGGGCGGTGTGCAGGACAAACATATCAATTGTGACACTAGCTCTCCACATATGTCAGTTGCTTAATTTAGAACCTGTACTTGTGGTCGATCTCGAACCCATTGATGATGCGACGATGTACATTGAATTTTGTAACTAGCTCATCAAGATTGTAACTTGCTTAGCTAAATGAATTGTGGGGTTCAGTCCCTGAGCCCATTATGTGCCTCTGTAACCCTTTCCACTACCGCCCACAAGATGATTGATTGATTGATGAAGATTAAGCCACCCAAGAGGTGGCACGGGCATGAATAGCCCGTAAGTGGTGGCCCTTTCGAGCCATTACCAGTATCAAAAGATGATACTGGAGATCTGTGGAGGCGCAACTGCACCCTGCGTGACGGGAGATGTCTCCCGGACCAAGTGGTGACCAAATGGTGCCACAAGATGGGTATGGGGTGCATAATAAGTGAACTAAACTAACTCAAACCCGCGGAACCCCCTACACGCCGATGCCCTAAACACCAAAACTGGGTTTTAAAATACAGCTAGAAAAGATCATCAGGTCAAATGGGGACACCTTTGACAAGCCCCCGGCTTCCTGTCCTCATTGAGGGAGGGAATTATCAGGGGAAAGCGCCAAGCCATTACGACTTTTATAGTACTTGGAAGGAGTCAGGATAAGGATTTGGGATGGGTCGGGAAGGAAGGATTGGTGCCTAACCACTTGGACGGTTATAGGGACTGAAAGCCGACCTGAGGCTACTAGTACTAGTGACCCCTAAGGTAAATTCAGGTAAAATGGCCCGTGTAGACGCCATCAACGTCGAAACTCTGCTGGGTTTTAAAATACAGCTAGAAAAGATCATCAGGGCAAATGGGAAGACCTTTGACAAGCCGCCGGCTTCCTGTCCTCGTCGAGGCCACTAGTATTGGTGGCTCCTAAGGTAAATTCAGGTAAAATGGCCCGTGTCGACGCCATCAACGTCGAAACTCTGCTAGGTTTTAAAATACAGCTAGAAAAGATCATCAGGGCAAATGGGGACACCTTTGACAAGCCGCCAGCTTCCTGTCCTCGTCGAGGCCACTAGTATTGATAGCCCCTCAGGTAAATTCAGGTAAAATTACCCGAGCGCCGACCGCCAGTGTTAGCGGAGGAGTTTTAGTTTTTTTTTTAGTTTAGTTCATTTATTATGCACCCCATACCCCTCTTGTGGGCGGTAGTGGAAAGGGTTACAGAGGCACATAATGGGCTCAGGGACTGAACCCCACAATTCATTTAGCTAAGCAAGTTACAATCTTGATGAGCTAGTTACAAAATTCAATATAAGTCGTCACATCAACAATGGGTTCGAGATCGACCTCAAGTACAGGTTCTAAAAGGACACACTGTGTTTATTACTGCTTGGAGGCTCCCGTGTGTGCTGTGTAGGCCCGTGTAGGCCCGTGTAGGCCTGTGTAGGCCCGTGTAGGCCTGTGTAGGCCCACACTCGGCATCAGGAGTGAGAGACGGCGTCTGTGGTAGACAATAGAGTGATCAATACCGCCAGGGTGAGAGTTGAGGGACAATACCAGGGGGGCCGGAGTGTCCCAACCTGCACCTCTCTCCTCCTACAGTAACACACACCTCAAGGGGCGCCTCGTTGTACCAGGTTAGCACTGATTGATTGATTGATGAAGATTAAGCCACCCAAAAGGTGGCACGGGCATGAATAGCCCGTAAGTGGTGGCCCTTCTGAGCCATTACCAGTATCAAGAGCTGATACTGGTGACCTGTGGAGGTGCGACTGCACCCTGCGTGACGGGAGATGTCTCCCGTCGGGAAAGAACTTAAGTCATTACGACTATATAGCACTGGGAAGAGGTCAGGGATAAGGATTTGGGATGGGACGGTGGGGAAGGAATGGTGCCCAACCACTAGGACGGTCGGGGATTGAACGCCGACCTGCATAGAGCGAGACTGTCGCTCTACTATCCAGTCCAAGTGGTTGGACCTCTCCACGTTGAGTCACTTTTATCTTGGACTAAGCTGTATGAAGAATAAACAGGTGAGGAGTCCATACACAATAATGGGGCCGAAGATTTATTTAATTTACTTATATATATCATCGGGATGTTGGACCCCAACACCCATTGGGGTCACCTTGTGGGAGTTGCCGCAAAGATATTATATCTAATTATTTCAATGTCTCTGACTTCTTCATTTGTTTTATCCAGTAATATTATTCAATATTGTGTAGTATGATATATTTTTACCTGAATTTTTTACCTGAGGGAGACAACTGGGAAGGGGTCCGTCTAATTACCACAAGCTACCACAAGCTTCAGAAAGCTTCCTGGCAATACGTTAGTAATGAATAAATATGATATGTTAGGTTAGGCTGACCTAACCTAACCTAACCTAACCTAACCTAACCTAACCTAACCGAAGCTTCGATCGTCGACTTGATTTGGCATCACCAGCTTTTTATTTTCGTCTAATTTCTTTATAAAAAGATTCTTTTTCAGATTAAAATTATGTTTTTTCGTGTTGTACATTCAGCACCAACATTATAATGAGTAAATATATCATATTTATTCATTACTAACGTATTGCCAGGAAGCTTTCTGAAGTTTGTGTAGTTTGTGGTAGCTTGTGGTAATTAGACGGACCGCTGGGAAGAGGTGATGGCCAAGCCACGCACCTGAAGATGAAGAGACGATGACGTTTCGGTCTGTCCTGCGACCATTATCAAGTCGGACCATTATCACAATCGAGGCAATCTACTTGATAATAGTCCAGGACGGACCGAAACGTGGTTGTCTCTTCATCTGGTGGGGAGTGTTCTGGTGTTGCCTTTCCTCTTATTTGGTCTAACTTTGGAGTGAACGTTGATATTAGGTCTGCTGTCAGGATAGAGGATCCACTCACCCACCTGATCAACCAGGCTGTGACTCGTACGTCAGGCTGCGAGCAGCCGCGTCCAACAGCCTGGTTGATCAGTCCGGCAACCAGGAGGCCTGGTCGACGACCGGGCCGCGGGGACGCTAAGCCCCGGAAGCACCTCAAGGTAACCTCAAGGTAAGGTAACCACCCAAGCAGCAGATGAATACCCATAAAACTAGCTGGTCCCAGGACTAAATATGACCTTATTAACTCTGTTGCTAGTCAAAAGCAACATCTACATAGTGCTTAACAAAGCCATGTTAGCCATGCCTTTCGAACTCACTCTCTGGTAAACTAAAAAATGTTCCAACCTATCTTGAGGTTATCTTGAGATGATTTTGGGACTTAGTGTCCCTGCAGCCCGATCCTCGACCAGACCTCCTTTTTGTAACACACCCCCAGGAAGCAGCTAACTCTCAGGTACTTATTTAGTGCTAGGTAACAGGGGCATCAGGGTGAAAGAAACTCTGCCCATTTGTTTCCACCTCCACTGGAATCAAACCTGGAACTTCAGAACTATGAATCGGAAGTGCTGTCCACTCAGCTGTCAGGCTAACTTATGCCCTGTTCAAAAGTAAAACCAAAAAGTACCTGATTTCATTCTCATAGTTTTCTACCTTCAAACTCTCACTGTATTTTGTACTACCCACTTCCCCAATATTAGTACCTAAGACCAATTAAGTACTTAATCTTTACCAGTGTAATCACCTTTGTCAATTTATTTTGTTGATATAAAACATTGCTACAATGTACTTTTTCATTTTACATGATATGTTAGATTAAGGCCCCTGTCCAAAGTGCTATGCGTGACTTTACAGGAATGTCAAAATATCACTAATGTAATCTCACCAACCTATTGTACCTCCTTGTAAATAAAATATTATTATTACTATTATTATTATTATTATTATTATTATTATTATGTTAGTCTGTCACTCTGCAGACTGTCAAATTCGCAAACAAAACTCTGATCTTACTCAGTAGTGCTTCACTAAGAAGGGAACGATCTAAGAAAATAGTGTGAAATTACAAGTAAACTACAACTAAGGAAATATTTTTTTCTGAGTAGCATGATTTAAAACCTGCCAACCTTCACTGTCATGCCAAAATTAATAGGTGTCCTTACCTAGCCTAACTTTGTGCTATTTTGTCTTCAGTCACCTTTTTGACTCGTAAACTGTACCAGAGTCTTCATTAGCTGCTACTAACTTCTCAGGCATGTCTTTACACACTTATGGAAGTGTTTACCACAGATTTGAGTAAATGCTTAATTTTTTAAATAATATCAGCAGCTTATATTATTTGTAATTCATTCATTTAACTCTACTATTATAATTTTTTTATATTTACTATTAATTTGTTGCTACATTGCAAGCTGCTATTTACAGCATATATTACTTTTATTTTTATCCCATATGTAATTGTTATGAGATTACATAATAATTTAAACTTTAATTTGATTAATTATTTAAATCACATTGTACCATCCTTGCGTTCTAAATTATTTGTTATTTGTAATTGATTTAATCTTATGTTTCCACTCCTGAATTTCTTTGTCTAACTTTTAAATCTAACCATTCCTGTGTTTTAACATCATTACTGCTTAATAATAGGGTCCCCATGGCTCAGTGGTAAACCACTTGCCTGGTGCTTCACGAGCACTTTGGCCTGGGTTCGTATCCTGGCCGGGAAGGATTGACTGGGGGCCAATCCTTAACTGTAGCCTCTGTTCACCCAGCAGTGAATGAGTACCTGGTTGTTAAACAATTTGGCGGATCGGCCGAGCAGACAGCACACTGGACTTGTGATCCTGTGGTCCTGGGTTCGATCCCAGGCGCCGGCGAGAAACAATGGGCAGAGTTTCTTTCACCCTATGCCCCTGTTACCTAGCAGTAAAATAGGTACCTGGGTGTTAGTCAGCTGTCACGGGCTGCTTCCTGGGGGTGGAGGCCTGGTCGTGGACCGGGCCGCGGGGACACTAAAGCCCCGAAATCATCTCAAGATAACCTCAAGATAGATCATATTTCAGGGAAAATTAGGATTAAGGACCTGCCCCGAAACGCTGTGTGCTAGTGGCTGTACAAGAATGTAATAATTCTTGTATGTATAAATAAATAAGAATAAAAATCAAAAATAATATTAGCTATTATATGAAATTAAGTGTGACCAACAACTAATGACCTCCTTCAATGACTGTGGCATAACTGAAAGCCAGCAGTCTTCCAAATGTCAATACTGTACTGGAAATATATCGCGTGAGTGACCGAGCCTTACCTAGCCTAACCTTGTCCAAGATGCCGTCTTTCACACTATCTTGAGGTTATCTTGAGATGATTTCGGGGCTTTAGTGTCCCCGCGGCCCAGTCCTCGACCAGGCCTCCACCCCCAGGAAGCAGCCCGTGACAGCTGACTAACACCCAGGTACCTAGTTTACTGCTAGGTAACAGGGGCATTTAGGGTGAAAGAAACTTTGCCCATTTGTTTCTGCCTCGTGCGGGAATCAAACCCGCGCCACAGAATTACGAGTCCTGCGCGCTATCCACCAGGCTACGAGGCTCCTACCTAGCCTAACCTTGTCCAAGATGCCGTCTTTCACACTATTGGTTAAATAATGTTCTATCATCCATAAAAGCCCTAACTTCTCGGTAATGTCTCCATGTACTTACGTAAGCATCTACCTCAGTATCTTGGCAAAGGCTTACTCGTTTGTATTATTTTATCTTTAAATTTAATGGGAATTTAATTTAAATTAGTCATTCATTAGTATTAAATAATTAAGATCATATTTTTATTAAGATCATATTAATTATAGGGTCCTATGTTATAGTTAATTATCATTAAGATTATATTAGATTATATTAATCAGTATTAATTAAGATTAATTTTGTCATTTTTTATTAATTCCATAATTTTATTGAATATTTATCTTGTCAATCTTAATTGAATCCTTAATTTTACTTGTAATTTGTATCCTACTTGTGTAATTATATTGATTTTTATTACATTTTTAACTTGTTCCTGTTATATTTGCATTTATGCTATAGTTATTTATTAATAACTATAACAATACAGTTATCTTGAGGTTATCTTGAGATGATTTCGGGGCTTTAGTGTCCCCGCGGCCCGGTCCTCGACCAGGCCTCCACCCCCAGGAAGCAGCCCGTGACAGCTGACTAACACCCAGGTACCTATTTTACTGCTAGGTAACAGGAGCATTGGGTGAAAGAAACTCTGCCCATTGTTTCTCGCCGGCGCCTGGGATCGAACCCAGGACCACAGGATCACAAGTCCAGCGTGCTGTCCGCTCGGCCGACCGGCTCCCTATATACATATATATTCTATATATAATTACTATATACAGTAATTATATATAGAATATAAATCTTGTCTATCTCAATATAGAATATTATTCTTGTCAGTCTTTATTGAATCCTTATTTTTTACTTGTCATCTGTATCCTTCTTGTCTGATTACATTGATTCATATTTTACTTTTATTTGTTCCTATTATACGTGTATTTGTATTTTTTTTTTCCTATCGTTGTTTTTATAACTATAATTTTGTTTGTGATTGCTCCTGTTTTTTTATTCTCCTGAAATTAGTTTTAATTTGTATTTTATTTTAGTGTAATTTTAGTAATTTTCCTAAGATTATTTTATTGCTCATCATATGCCTTTATTTTTATGTTCCACTTTTATTTCACTGTGATTATTTTTTTATTTGAAC